TTGTTGGGGGACTCAAATGAAGAGCAAGCTACACAAGTGCTACATATGTTGGTGGGAAGGGTGGGGGGAGCTTTGTTCCAGTCCTTGTATGCTCTTTGATTGGTAGAGTCTGGTGATGCCCAGGGATCCAGGTTAGTCGAGACTGTTTGTCTTCCTGTGGAGTTCCTATCCCCTCCGGGCTCCTCAATCTTCCCCTCAACTCTTTCATGGGACTTTCTGAGCTCCATCTAATGCTTGGCTGTGTGTGGGTCTCTGCATCCACTTCCACCAGCTGCTGCACACCCAATTTCTTTTGTTTACATTTTATATAATATATAGTATATTTATCATAAATAATACATCTTTTTTACACAAGTCTTGCTATGCTAGCTGGAACTTGATGTGTAGTTCAGACTAGCCCCAAGCTGGCAATTTTTCTTCCTTGACCTTCCCAGAGCAAGGGTCACAGGCATGTTCCACCATGCCCAGTGTCTTAGTTACACGGTTTCTATTGCTGCAATGAAACACCATGACCAAACTGTTATGGTCTGACCTCCCCACCCCCAAAAGCTGTAGCCATTTTGATCCGTGTCTGCCAGCTACTTCATATGCTGCTGTAACAGGCCTGCCAGTCACTGACACAGAGAAGGGACTTGGCTCAAGGACATGCTGACCACATATCCCGTTTTGTTCTGTATGTTCTGTATGAGGATTGCTAATCTGAAGAAACTCCGCAAAGCTTTACGTAGGACCTATCAAATCAAAGGTCAATATGAACAGATGTGTCTAAAACGGCTCGAGTCAGGGCTGACCACCAGGCAGCCTTTCCTGCACCTATGATTGAGCTCACTATGGTTTTTGTGGCTGACACTGAAGAATGCTACTAATAAGCCAATAGGTTGTGACTATATACTCATGCTCTGTTATCTCAACGTTCTGAAATTCTCCTATTCACCACCCATCCACCATCCTCCTTACCTTACTCAGTACCAATCAGCTTAAAGGTTAGCTGATAACACTTTGCCTAGTAAGCCAACTGCTCTCCTTGCCCTTTAAACTTTTGAACTTGGTTTCTTATATAAAAAGCCTACACTGAGACCAGACTCATACCACAGTTCTTTTTGTGGTCCTAAATGTTCAGTATTGCTTAACTGAGATCAGTGTTTGGTTTGAGTGGAAATTCCTGAACTCATCACAAACCAAACTGGGGAGGAAAGGGTTTATTTGGTTTACACTTTCACAGAGTTGTTCTTCATCAACAGAAGACAGGATAGGAACTCAAATAGAGCAGGAACCTGGAGGCAGGAGCTGATGCCGAGGCCATGGAGTGATGCTGCTTACTGGCTTGCTCCTCATGGCTTGTTCACCCTCCTTTCTTACAGCACCCAGGACCACCAGACCAGGGATGGCACCATCTACAATGGGCTGGCCCCTTCCCTATCAATCACTAATTGAGAAATGTCCTACAGACTTGCCTGCAGCCCAGTTGAATGGAGTCATTTATTAATTGAGGTTTCCCACTGTCAGGTGATTCTAGTTTGTGTCAAGTTGACATAAAACTATACAAAACACCCAGGTAATTAGTAAATTTTTACTACATTATTAACTAAAGTCTATCCTTTATCCAGATTTACATTTTATCTAAGTCTCTTTCTTTTCTATTCTAGTATCCCACCCAGTATATAACATGGCTTATTTTACTTTAGGCTCCCCTAAGCTTTGACAGTGTTTTAGGTAGCTTTCCTTATCTTTAATACCTGTAATGGCTATTTCTGGTTGTCAGCTTGACTATATCTGAATGAACTACAATCCAGAATTGGAGGGCTCACCTGTGATCCAGATCTTGAGGCTGGAAGACACAAGTTTCTGACCTGGATCTTGGCATAGAGATCTTGAGGCATAGTGGCTATAAAAGCTTAGGCCCAGACAAGGTAGTACACGCCTTTAATCCCAAGAGTTTAATGCAAGGAGATCTCTGAGTTCAAGGTCATCCTGGGACAAAACAAGTCCCAGATCCAGGCGTGGTGGTGCATATCTTTATCTGGACCACACCTTCTGCTGGAGACCTCCATAAGGACATTGAGAGAAGGAAGATTCGCTCTTCTTCACTGCTTGCACTTACTTGCCAGCACATCTGTTGGAACCTACGTCTACAGAAGAGCAGCTGAAACAACCAGCCTTGTGTGGGACTGAGCAACTACTAGATTGTTTGACTTCCCATTCACAGCTGGCCATTGTTGGGGAGTTGGACTGTAGACTGTAAGTCATCATAATTGTTAGTGTTCTGTCTAAACTCCACCTTCACAGTTACCTGGCAACAGCCAGGCATGCTCCTCCCCACAGTTACCTGGCAATAGCCAGGTAGGCCTGCCCACTATAAAAGGAGCTGCCTGCCCCCTCCTCACTCTCTTGCTCCCTTGATCCCTTGCCTGCAGGTTCTCTGCCCTCTCTCCCCTCCCCCCTCCCCTTTCCCCTCTCTCCACGTGTTCATGGCCGGCCTCCACTTCTCCTCTCTTCTCTCTGCCATTCCTCCCGTTTCTCTCCCCACCCTCCGCCCTGAATAAACCCCCTCCCCTCGTGGAACCGGCTGGTCTGGTGTTATCTAAGCTGCACACTCAATTCCCTCAATATAGAAAGACATTAGAGACTGTGACTCTAGAGAACCCTGACGAACACAATGCCCTTAACAGTTTTGAGGAATACTGGTGAGGTTCTGTAGGCTAGTTCTTAACCATATGCGGTATAATTTCTTTGTTTTGTTTACTTTTTCGAGACAGGGTTTCTCTGTGTAGTCCTAATTGTCCTGGAACAAACTCTGTAGACCAGGCCGGCCAGCTTCTCCAGTATAAAGTGACTCCTCTGATACTGCATTCTTAGGAAGGAAGGGGCTATGCACAGTTCAAAATGCTTAAGAGGAAACTGGCTATGCTCCAAGAGAGCCTACGTCTTCTACAGGAAACGTATCTCTTTTCCACTTACTGAATATGGAATATCAATAACCACTCAATATGGAATTAATATCTCTTTTTATGCTTTGAGTTATAATCTAGTATGACTTGCTTTTTGCTCAAGCCACATACACTTTTACTATCATGAGTAATTTAATGCGAAGGCAGATGACCCACTTCTTAACGTCAGCACCATAAGGGAGAGGCCTTGTCTCACTCAGGCCTAAGGGTCTTCTCACTCCGTACTAGCACGAGCCCATTCTGTCCTCCAGGCACCACTTCCTAGTTTCCCGGTGGCCCCGCCCACCATGGAGCGGAAGTGGGCGCGCCGTAGGGCGGAAGTACAGGGCGGGTCCTCGTCCTTTCTTGTAGCCCGCCCCTCCCTTTCCATTTCAGCCCCACCTCTTAGGCCCAGACCGGAAATGAGGTCAGAGAGGGAAACCCAGGCTGGGAGCTACGGCCCCGAAGGCGGCGCTGGGTGCAAGCTACTGCGGCAGCCGGTGAGGGGAAGGATGGCGGCGAGGCTGGGCCAGTGCCGGGCGGGATCGGGGCCTCCGGGTTGCGGCAGGGCAACCGAGGGCACCACGGGGCTGCGACGAGTGACCGAGGGTGGCGGGGCCTGGCTGCCCTAGGCGCGTCTTCCCAGCCTGGGCTCTGAGGGTCTGGCCGCCTCCGTGGCGACAGTCCCCTCCACTCTGTCTCTTCGGTGGGCGACAGCGAGAGCTCAGGCTTGGTGTCCCTGGCCAGGGTCTCCCTAGCCCTCGAGGACGGGCTGGGCATGGTGGAGAGTCCTCCAAAACACGGCTTTTTTCATCTCTATGGTGGTGCTGTGATACCTCTCTCCCCACCCTCACAGAGGGAATGCAGTCACCAGGACGAGATTTCAGACAGTTTCTGCCCTAGACAGCTGACCCCCAGTCTAGGGGGAGAAGTTGACTCCTGTCTCCCCTACCTCCCGTCACTCTGACCCGGAGATTGGCTCGCTGCTTTGCGGTCCACCAGCGTCCAGTGACTCAGACCAGGGTCTCTAGGATGTGCTCCTTAGAGTGAGATTGGAGGTGTGGGCACACCAGGGTTCTCTGTCTGTCTCCTTTGAGACGTGGAAGAACTCTATGTCAGCTTTTGACGACACGTTGTTTAGTACACTTGTCCCACGTTAAAGTTTGTACAGTCCTGTCTGAGTTTCAAAGCTGTAATTTTTTATTAGAAACTTAGAAATGTTATTCCCACTTGTTTATCAGCTTTGGACTTAGGGACAGTTGTCTTCCAAACCGCAGCCCTGGCATTTTAAACTACTACCAATTGCTAAAGGGAAATGGTCTTTCTATATTTAAGGCTTTTGACAGTTTGAGGAAGTTTGAGTGGTGGTTTTGGAGCTAGGTGGCTCCATTGCTCTCACAAGTATGACACATAAGCCAGAAGACTTTTCCTGCTTTTGTATTTGTTGACATAGGGGCCCTGTGAGAATTAATTTTTAGAAAGCCTCTTGCAAAATGCAAATTGCATGGAGGGAAATATGGGCTGAGTTTAGCTTTAAGTTCCAACTATGGACAAGATGTATTTTGGGCTTCACATGAGCTGGGGGAGAAAGTGCTATTTTTTTTTTTTTGCATACAAAGTATAGGTGTTGTACAGATGGTATTAGACATTTTCTTTTGAAAAGCAAAAATTTGAAAATTGCCTCTACTACGCATGCCTTGAAAGGGTTGCTTCTCTTAGCCAGATATCTCAGAGATTTTACACTGTACCTCCACCATTTTAGTTTCATTTATGTCCTGGTTTTGTGTGGTTGGCACTAAAGCACATAATTGGGGTGACCAGGGTGAGGAGTCTAAAAGTCCTATACTATACTACTACTGCTACTAACACCACCACCACCAAATCAGTGTCATACTCTACAGCAGTCTGTTTCTAGTAACTTTCAGGTGGCAGTTGGCACCATGGTAGTTACCAGATACGGGCTTTCTTTTTTCCCATTCTGAGTATTTGGCTCACCACAGGTTCTGTGATGATGACCCTTGTAAAGTCTTCCTCACAGGTGTGGCTCATAGGTGCTTTCTCTCTCCCCACCAGAACCTTTGTAGCAGGTGTCCCAGACGGCAGTGTGGCCTCCATTGTGTGGATGGTGTCTGATGCGCCCTTGGCTCTCCCATAGTGATGAAGTTGTGTGGTTTGCTGTTCTTCTCTGGTGAGATGCTTTCTCATGATTAGGCTACCAAGGGATACATTTAATTGGAGAAAGGAGGAAGCTCGATTTGTTTATTCTTGCTAATGTCCCAGTTGTCATCTGGTGAGCTACTGGATAGGTTGATTTCAAGATTTAACAATGGCCGGACACCTGCTTTTGTGGTGCATGATGGTAAAAAGAGTAGTGGATGGAAGAAGTCTATTTTCTATAGCCAGGCAGGGAGCCACAATTATATGCTTTATAAAATTACTGGGAAAGCAGCAGGTCTTTTCAAGATTTCTTTTTAATTTGGCAGATGCGGCCTCATGGATGAACTGGTGCATGACTTAGCCTCAGCCTTGGAGCAGACATCTGAGCAGAACAAGCTTGGTGAGCTGTGGGAGGAGATGGCCCTGAGCCCCAGACAACAGAGGCGGCAGCTTAGGAAACGCCGAGGCCGGAAGCGCCGTTCTGACTTTACTCATCTGGCAGAGCACGCCTGCTGCTTCAGCGAGGCCTCTGAGTCAAGTCTGGATGAGGCCACCAAGGACTGTCGAGAAGTGGCTCCGCTCACCAACTTCAGTGACTCTGATGACACAGTGGTGGCCAAACGGCATCCGGCTCTCAGTGCCATCATTAGGGGTAAGCAGCATTCATGGCATGAATCTGACTCCTTTACAGAAAATGCACCTTGTCGACCACTCAGGCGCCGGCGGAAGGTGAAGAGAGTGACGTCGGAGGTGGCTGCCAGTCTTCAGCAGAAGCTGAAAGTGTCAGACTGGAGCTATGAGAGAGGATGCAGGTTCAAGTCTGCCAAGAAGCAGCGTTTATCCCGCTGGAAGGAGAATACCCCCTGGACCTCATCTGGCCACGGGCTGTGTGAATCAGCAGAAAATCGGACTTTCCTAAGCAAAACAGGAAGGAAAGAGAGGATGGAGTGTGAAGCAGAGGAACAGAAACACGGCTCTGATGAGAACATGTCGGAATGGTGAGCTCTCCCTTCCTAAAGCGAGGGTTTCCGTGGCTCATGTACCCAAAGTGCGAATCTGCAGCCTCTGAATAGTTCCAGTCTTTTAAACTAGCCCTGCTAGAATTGCCTTTGCAGCCCTCTTTCAGTCAGCTGGTAGTTGATCTCTGCTTTGCAAAGTGTCCTGCATCAATCTCTGTTTTGCTATGTCAAGAAGGCTGTGTGTAACAGAAGTAATTTGATCCTAAAAATAATTTCAGACGTGTACCTAGAAATGCATAACCAAGAATTTGTTTTTAAAAATGATCTTTTGTTCTTTATACCATTCAATTCATACAAAGATACTGTTATTTAGAACCAAGGGATCATCAAGGGCTGGCATTGACAATTGTGGCAGAGAAGCCATGCAGGTGCCAGGTCTAGGCAGTTTATAAATGAATGCAGGCTGTTTGGTCTTTAAGAATCGTGGCTTTATATACTTTGGAGCTATAATTCTGTTCTCTGTTAGTTATGCTTTGACTATATTGAGTGCATTTCCTTCTTATGTGTGTGTGTGTAAGTGTGCACAGGTGCGTGTGGAGGCCCAAGGTGGATTGGTGCGTGTCTTCCTCTATCACTTGTCACCTTATTTTGGGGAATAGGCTGCCACTGAACCCAGAAGTCAACAATTGGCTTGACTAGGTGGTCAGTGAGTTCTGGGAATCCACCTGTCTCAGCTCTCACAGTAAGATTACAGAGGTGCACTGCTGTGCCTGGATGTCAGGCACATCCTGTGTGTGGATCTCAGGCCCTCATGGTTGCTCAGAAGCACCTTACCCACTGAGCCAGCGCCTCAACTTGAATAGTCAACCTCCCCCCCCACACACTTATTTGTGTGTGTGTGTGTGTGATCAAACTTGGATCATTAGGCTTGGCAACAGGTACCTTCACCTATTCTCCAAGCCATCTTACCAGTCCTTGAGTGTCTATGGCAGACGTTTAAGTTGTATGCATATAGAGTAGGGATTGAAAGTGACAACGAGTCCCTTTAACCTTGTATCACATGGGATCAAGTACTCTGAGGGTTGCATGTTGAAAATGCCAGTGTAATTTTGGTAACTCACGTCTCTCCATGTCAGATCTGAAAACATGGATCTTTGGTAGCTTGATACTTTAATATGTGACTTCTCAGTGATGATGCCTTTCATGGCGGGGACAGTGTGTTGTGGCACACTGTAGGATGCCCAGCAGCTCTGCCATGTTGCTACACCCCTTCCTTGTATCCACTGCCAGAGGCAGCCTTTAGGTGGGTTGAGGACTGCCAGTTTGTTAAGTACTCTGGTAGGTACTGAACTGTATGTCTGCTGGGTATTCGTATTTAATGCTTACAGTTCTATGTATGGTAGAACCTCATTATTTGTATTTTTAGAAGAGGAAACTAGATTTAGAGTTTGGTTAATTTGGGAGGGTCACCTCATGTACAAACTGAGAGGCAAACCTGACTTCCAGGCTCATATTTCACCAGGTTTTGCTGCTTGTTATGTTTTGCAGCCGTAGAGCAAGTAACCTTTCTTAGGACCTTATTCTTTTAAGGTTTGCACCCCAAAGACAGAAAGCTTAGGTATGCTGAGGCGAGGCTTTTGTAGGTCTGTGTGCTTCCTCTTTTTCTGAATGTTTTTTAATTTAACTTTAAAAGTTTTTTTTTTACTAACTGTATATTTTGCCAGCATTTTCAGCTGTGTTACAGTTTGACTCTTACAGTTTTCTTCTAAGCTCGATTCTTTCTAAGGCCTATTTACCCAATTTATATGTAGTTTGTAGATTATTTAGGCACTCTTCTTCCATAATCATTACTATTTTTATCCAAACAAGGATTGTTTAACTAACTTGTAGCTCTTTTTTTTATAGTTTTTTAAAAAAATTTTTATTATTTTTTTATTTATATGAGTACACTATAGCTATCTTCAGACACACCAGAAGAGGGCATCAGATCTTATCACAGATGGTTGTGAGCCACCATGTGGCTGCAGGGAATTGAACTCAGGACCTTTGGAAGAGCACTCAGTGCCCTTAACCGCTGAGCCATCTCTCCAGCCCGTAGCTCTTTATAATAAACCTTCTGTTGAGACATTCAGGATGACTTCAAGATTAAGCATATGCATCTTAGATTCCTATAGTTGAGAATGGGAATTAAAATAGGCCTTTGGAATGTTACTTCTGTCTTTTTCTTTCCTAGAGTTTCTTGTTAAACTGAAGTTATTGTGTGTGTGTGTGTGTGTGTGTGTGTGTGTGTGTGTGTGTGTGTGTGGTCCAGCTGTGGTGCTGTCCCTTCCCACCTAGACTGTCAGGCTCTGAGTTCTTGCCTGGAGACACTGAAGTTGAGAAGAGTTCTTGTGAAATTCTTGTTTTCACATTGAGGAGACCTGGTTCTCCCTCGTGGGCTCCCTTCCTGGCCAGGACTTCAGAGCTTTACAGCGATAGGGATGGCAAAGTCCTCGTCACTGTGAAGAAACAATGGGTGAAGTGCTAGTGTGACATTGGTCCAGTGTGCACCATGGCTGGGAAGGACGTTCTAAAAAGATACCCTCATGCGGAGGCTGGATGAAGGGATGAAGGGCTCAGCAATTCAGAGCACTGTTTCCAAAAAGACAAGATCAGTTCTCAATACCTACTTTGGGTGGCTTACACCTATAATCCAATACTCTCTTCTGGGGACACAGGTGCACGGACACACACACACACACACACACAACCTGCCTTAAAGATCGACCCTTGTGCTCTCAGTGTCCACTGTTAAGATTGTTAAAACAATGGACCCTAAAGAATTAAAATTTCCCAGGAGTCCCATGCTGGGGCAGGGAGAGGCAGACATGCTAGTGCCAAGCAGAGGAGGCGCTGTTTCATTATTTGGACTAGGGCCTTTAACTCAGGATGGCCTTCAACTTGCAATCCTTCTGCCTCAGCTTTCTAAATGCTGGACTTAACAGACGTGTGGCCTGGCTTTTGTTTTGCTTTGGTGTTGGGGACTGAACTCAGAGCTGGGCAGGTAGTCTGACACTGAGCCTCATGCCCAGCCCCACTCCCAGTCCTTAAGCATATTGTATAAACAGGGCTAACATTAAACTGCAAGTAGAAAATAGTTATGATTTGTATATTACAAATATAAAAATATTTGGTGAGTTGGTTATGTCACAATGTTCGTACTTCCTATTTGAAAAGAAGCACGTTCAAGAATCCCTGGGTGGTTATCCTTTACTCTTGCTGCTTGGTGGTGCCATGGTTCAGTCACATAGAGGTCAAAGTGCTGGATTTTACTTTCCTTCATGTTGAGGGCTCTCACCAGCAGCCTTGTAAGATTACTAATCTTGATCTACCTTGTAAAATTACTGACATGAGAAGTTGATCATTAATCTTAGCCTAGTCTATGGCTAGTGTTTTAAGAAACTATGTGTTAGATGTTTTGGATTTGGAGATGTATATCTTAATTTGGTTTTATTTCTAGTTTACTTAAACTCACTTATTACTAACAACTGTAAATTGCCAACAGCTTTACGCCTTGTCTCTATTTCTGCTTGTTTTTCTCTCTGTTCTTCATTCAGTTGTGTTCTAGTCAGGAATAATGAGGATTTAGAAATGGGTACAACATAGTAGCTTTATTTATGCTACATAAAGATCAAGTTATTACTGAAACGCTCTTCTGTGTATGTATGGGAGCAAATGCGCTGAGATTTAACAAATCCTGTAAAGTTAGGCCCTGGCCCACTTCATTCAGATTGTCTGAGATTCGCTTCTTCGTCAGGTGATGAACTTAGCCGATGGCTCTGCTCTTGAGGAGCACTGTGTTTGTTCCTCTTGAGTAGAGTTTAGTTCTGTTATGAGAAAATTGGTCCAGTGGTGGCCCAAAGTCACATCAGGAGTCTTCCTCAGGTGATGTATTAGAGGCCAGTCTTACAGGAAAGAAAATATTCCCTTGTCCTGGAAGGCAAGTGACAGAGATGGAGTGCTAGTCCTGTCCCCTCCTTCCCCACTCCAAGCTGACCTTCTGCACCCCTTGGTGCCTCTTGTTTTCTTATTTTTATAGAAAATCAATATCCCTTCTGACACAAACAGTAGCTCAGAAGCAAGAATAAATGGGAGAAAGCTGAGATCTCTGTCCATCACCTCTCACTTTAACTGCCCCAAACTCTTTAATTACCAGTGTGCTTTGCTCCAGGTGTTTGTGACAGTGAAATTGCTAAATGAGGACCATTTTAACCAAAGATTGGGTGATCAATAACACTCTATAGCAGTAGCTTGTTGGATCAATAGCCTTCATTATTTCATGGTTAAGGTAAGTAGTCTCCTTTGCAAGTGGAGGTCATTAATCAGGGGTTACTGGGGCAGTGGAAAGAATATCTGTAGTGGTGGAACGTTCTGCTTGTCTGTAAACAGAGGTGCCGACCGAGAGCATGCTTACCTTTTCTGCAGTTGGCAACATTCCCTGAAAGGTATTAGAAGGCTAGCGGAGACTGCTTATACAGGCTTAGTCTGGTTCTGCTGGTGAATCCTTAGAAAGAGCTGGAAAACACCTCTGGAGGCACATGTAAGATGACTGTATTTGAAGGTCTATCCCTTAGGTCTCCCTCCCAGAGAGAACTTTGTCTGTCTGCTACTGTGAGTTCATATCTTAAAAGGCATCTAAGAAACTGTTTCCACTACCTACTAGAATACTTAGAAAAAAATTGAACATTTGGGTCAACAAGATGCCTCAGTGGGTGAAGCTGCTTTCCATCAAGCCTGAGGATGATGTGGTTCAGTCTGTAGGACCCACGAGGTAGAAGGAGAAAGCCAGTCCCTACAGACTCTCCTCTCACTATACACATGCACAGTCAGTCAATCAAACAAATGTAATAAAAGCTTAAAGCATCAGAACCATTTGTGTACTAACATCATCAGAACTGGAGAGCTGGCCTGTCATCGAGGTTTCCTCTGCTTTAGGCTGGTGTACTGCAGATGTAATATGTCAGTCTGCCCAGTGGCTATTCTCCCCAGGTAGTCCTGGC